ACTTTCAGCCTTGGCTCCGGCTCTATTTCTTGCGGTCTACCCACTCGTCTTCTTTTCTCAGTTCCAGTTGTGAGGCCGGGATATATGCAGGGGCCATGGCTGCACAGGAGTCACGCTGGCTCACATACCTGCTGACCGACTTGGGAGAGCGGCCTCGTTCTCCTCCAGTTCTGTACTTAGAAAACAAGGCCATGATTGCCTTGTGTTAGGAGCACAGACTGGAGCACAGGACGAAGCACATTGCTCTGCGTTAATTCCTTGCTCGAGAGTAGCGGGGAGCAAATTACCGACGCATGTCGTCGCCAATGAGCGTCGAGAAGTCGAGCAGCCTGCAGGCAAAACATCCACAGAAGAGCGATTTGCAGAAGAGCGATTTGCAGACGAGCTGCCCGCACAAGAAAAAGTCAAAAAGGAGCTACCTGCATTAGAAGAAATTGCCGCAAAAGAGCAACTTGCAGAAGAAGGACCCGCCGACGAAAATCTTCAGGTTTCTCATTATGGTCGAAAGATTCAAAAGCCAATCCAATGACTTCTCTCGACGGCATGCATGAGGATGTCGTGGTCAGCTTCGTCTTGCTTACGTGGCCACTCGGGCCAACACTGCTGATTTACTCACCAAGGCACTTCAGTCTGGTGATCATGAGCGTTTCTTTACTGCTTTAGGCCTTCTGCCTGCTTTGTCTCACTTGCTCACTGCGTGACTTTGCTTGTACTGTGATATATATACATATATATATATACCCGCATGCTTACACTTGCTAGGTGGTGGTCACTGTATTGTTTGTTCTCATTTATATAACTCTGCATGTCAGCTGGCCTTGTGGCCATTTGCTTGTGCTCAGAGTGTGTGGTGACTTCATGATCCACCCTGAGCTCGCCTTGCCTTTCTTGACAGGTCTTGTGACCCCTTGTTCTCTCCCACTTTGCCTATGGGTGTGTGTCAAACTATCATGTTGTGTGTGTTGTGTAGGCTGTAGTGGGGTAGCCTATATGGGGAACAACCCAAATTAGGGTTAGTACTTGTATAACTTTCTTACTCAATGCAATAATTCCTGCTTGTTAGATTCTGACAGAGTCCACCGACAATGACGTGGTGGAGGTTCTTGAGAAGAAACGAGGAATGAGAATGACTAAGGGAATGTTGGGTACAAGTACAAACCCTAGAAAACAGTACCCCATATGTGCTACCCCACTATAGCCTACAGCAGCTAAGTCATATAAATTTGACACACCCCCATAGGCAAAGTGGGGGAGAACAAGGGGTCACAAGACCAGTCAAGCAAAGCAAAGCAAGCTCAGGGTGGATCACAAAGTCACCACACATTCCGAGCACAAGTTCAAGGCCAGTTCACATGCAGGATTACATCTATGTTTATATAAGGCTAGACAAGCAAGAGCAGGAGTATATATATATGTAACAGTACAAACAAGGTCAACGGGTGAGCAAGTGAGGCAAGGCAGGTACAAGACCCAACTGAGTACAGAAGCGCTGATGATCACAAGGCGCAAGTGCCTTGGTGAAGATATCCGCAGTGTTGGCCTCAGAGGCCACGTACGCAAGGCGCAGCTGACCACGCTGCTGTAGCTCACGAGCAAGGAAGTAGCGAAGAGCAATGTGCTTCGTTCTGTGCTCGAGTGTCTGCTCCTGACACAAGGACAGCATGGCCTTGTTATCTACGTACAGGACTGGAGGAGAACAAGGCGGCTCTCCGAGGTCAGTCAGCAGGTAGGTGAGCCAGCGAAGCTCCTGTGCAGCCATGGCCCCGGCGTAGATCTCAGCCTCACAACTGGAGCCGAGAACAGAAGACGAGCGGGTAGCTCGCCACGAAACAGAGCTGGAACCAAGGCTGAAGGTGTAACCCTGTGACGACCGCTGCGTAGCCTGGTCGTCAGCCCAAGAAGCGTCTGCGTGCCCAGTGAGGACCACTGGACTCTACCCTCCAAGCACAAGCCCCATGCCCGAAGTACTGCACAAGTAGCGCAACATCCTCTTCGCTGCAGCCATGTGCTCCGGTCTGTGTCTCCCAGGAGCAACATAGCGTGCGAGAATGCTAAGAGGGTATGCAAGGTCAGGTCGTGTGCAGGTCATTAGGTACATGAGGCAGCCAACAAGCTCTGGGTACGGGCCACTCGACTCTACGGACTCATCCGAAGGCAGAGCTGAGAGCGAGTGGCGAGTAGGCAGAGGAGTGGCCTGAGGCAAGGAGTACGTGAAGCCGAAGCGCTGAAGGACCTGCTGCACCATGTGTGACTAAGTCAGGGTAATGGTGTGGCGTGCTCTCTCCTGGGTGATCTGCAAGCCAAGGTAGCTGCGCAGTTCACCCAGGTCTGTGCACGTGTGTCTCTTCTGCAGCTCAGACTTCACGTGGGCGAGTCCAGCAGTGTCAGCTGTGGCAAAGACCAAATCGTCGACGTATACGAGGATGTAGAACGGCAGCAAAGAAGTGTTGGTGCGCAGAAATAGTGACGGGTCGGCAGTAGAGGGAGCAAACCCAAGAGCCGCAAGTGTAGTCCTCAGTGTGTCGTGCCACTCACGCGGTGCTTGGCGGAGACCGTAGATCTGGCTGCGTCGCCCACCTGGCTTCACTGGGTCTTTTCCTCCTGGCACCCAGTGGAGCCTCCGGCGGCCAGTCTACGGAATGAGAATGACTAAGAGAAAGTTGGGTACAAGTACAAACCCTAGAAAGCTGTACCCTATATGTGCTACCCCACTATAGCCTACTGCAACTATGTCATATAAATCTGACAGTTCCGGTCGAGAAGCCTGTGTTGCGACGAACTCGGAAGCCGCCGGAGCGGCTGGTCTTCCACGCCTGCCTGCAGCCAGCTTTGTTCACCACACTGCATGACGATGCATAGGCGGATGTTGACCTTCCGTAGCTCGACCCCATCGTGCATGCCAACCCCGAACATTGCTGGGCCTCTTGGGAAGACCTTGGGTATTTGGAAATTGCAATGGAAATTATCAGACACTATGGCCTTTCCCTCAGCTCAACAGAAACCAAGACCACGCCTTGGACAAGAGAGGGTTGCTCGATAAAGCATCACTAGTGAGAAATTAGTTCTATCCAGCTACCATTCCAAGTAACCACTCTGAAGCTTTCATGTAGGTAGGCAGCAGCTCGAGACAAACAAGTCTGTCCTCGTTAGTTTCATGCTAGCCATACCAAAAAAACGCGGATGCCCCCAAAAATACCACGCTTTCAAAAGGTTGTCACACCTGCTGAGAGCCACCCCTTCAGCAGGATGCCATTAACTGTGAGATATATATGACATAGTTTGTTTGTTTGTTTGTTTGTTTGTTTTTTGTTTTTTGTTTTTTTTTTTAATATGTGAAAGCTTATACCAGGGGTGTACAAGCAAAACACTTCAGACGTAACTGATGCACCGGGCTCGAGCTGACGGGACCCGCCTAGCCCTCCCCGCGAACTCTACGGTGGTTTCACTAAGGTCTTCGGGTTCGACCAGGTAGACTGGAACCTTCCTTGCCACTTCAGCCCCACCACCTCATCGACACAAATCCGCCGCATGACACGTGCCTCATCTCCCGCCAAGTTCCACCGCACCTTATCCTTCCGTGCCTGCCTGCTTGGTTTGCCTGAGTAAATTCTTGCATGTTTGTTAAACTCCACATTGATCTTCCGGAGCACATTCCGTACCTGGAACCTCTTCACCTTCCGTAGCGACACCTCACACCTACCCAACCAGATCTGGTGCATCGCCACTGCCACCATAGTTGCCTCGGGGAAACCAGACTTCGTTTCTTCCGCGCCAAACACTAAGTCTGCCAACTTGTCAACCTGCCTAGCTGGTTGCATCATGTTGAGCGCCGATTTAACAGCCCCAACCACTGGCGCCACACACCTGCAGTCAAGCAAGCACTGTTCCAGCGACTCCTCCATCCCGCAGTTCGGACACGTCACTCCCCCTTTCACGAAAGAAACCCTCTCTCCCACTTGCAGATTGAGATTTTGCACACGAAGCACCACATCTCTTGTTCTGGCCGGGGTCACCAGCAAATCACGGACACTTCTTCCCCCTTCCCAGTCGATTTTCCTGCCCGCTCGGGCCTCCCAACTTGCCCTTTTTGCCTCCACAGCCTCCACTCCCTTGCTCGGCTCCCTGAGCTTCCTCAGCGGGGCCACTTCCTCCTCTGCAAACAGTGACGAGCTCAGAAGCCTTGTCATTGGGTCTCCAACCTCTCTTACTACTCGGGCACCGGACAACCTCACCGGTATCACACTATCACAGCACAGCGCCACCTTCACATCCCACGCAGAGCGCTCCCCCTTGCCGTTTAGCCCCCTAAGCTCCACCTTCCTGCCTAACTTGCCGCAGATCTCCCAGAGGCACCTCTTCCCACCCGAGAGTTTAGTACACACCACCAACAATTCAGCCGCTACCTCCTCTGCCGTCAAAGGTGCCAACACCCACTGACGCCACTGCTCCAGCGCTGCTCGAAACGCCTTCAACGCCATCTCCGCCTCCATTTTCCCTCCCAGTTCCCTGGCAAGTGTCTCTTCTGACTTTAGTACTGTTGTGCCGTCCCATTTCCGCATCACCATGTCGCGCATCTTCCACTTCCGCAGCTTCTCCGTTCCTTTCTGTCCTCCAAAGGGAGCGTCCCCTCGGTGTATGATATGCTTATTGTAGCACAGAAACTCCTCTTCCGCTTCCCATCTTGACGCCACTTCCGGCACCTTCACCACCGTGGATTTCAAGATCGTCTTACGCAGCCGCGCCCACCTTCTGCTCTTGAACAAACCCCCACGCAATATCGCCTTATGCGCGTAAAGCGTCGCCCAGCCTTGCGGTAAGCCTGCCGCCCGTTCCGACAGCCCCCGCCTGAGCGGACATTCTTGTTGCAGCACCAATCCAGCACATCGCAGGGCCACACTGTCAATGCGCCCCTGCGGGTCTACCACTCCTATACCCCCTTGCTCCCTCGGTGTATACATCAGATCCCCGCTCCAGAGCCTGAAGTGTCGTTCCGTATCTGCATGGCTACCGGAGACGAAGTTCTCGACCAACTTTTCCACCCTCTTCCACAGCAGATCATCTTGCGGGTAAACTTGTGCTTGAAATAGAAAGATTGGCAGCCTCCAGGTCCACGTCCACGTCCAAGTCCACGTCCACGTCCACGTCCTCCACGTCCACGTCCACGTCCACCTCCACGTCCACGTCCAAGTCCACGTCCACGTCCAGGTCCACGTCCACGTCCTCCACGTCCACGTCCACGTCCACGTCCTCCACGACCACGTCCATTTAAGTCCACGACCACGTCCCCCACCACACTCACCGTTGACCTCCTCGAGGAGCGCCTCCTAATAGCTGAGAAGAGTATAGTCGCTGTAGGAGCCTCTCGTGGTGACCCTCGTGCCCCCTTCTTTGAGGGGTGCCCCCCCTCCCCCCTTTTGCCCTCTGTTGCCTCTGCTGCTACGGTCGACCTCGTTGGCACCGAGTCGGTCGGCGCTGCGTCTGCCCCTAGCGGGAGACGCCGCAATGGCAAGGGCAAGGGGGTAAGGGCGCTGAAGGAGCTGGCGGGGGCGGTGAAGGTGGCGGTGGAGGTGGCGGTGGAGGCGGCGGAGAGGGTGGGGGTGGTGGTGGGAGTGGTGGCGGGGGTGGGGGCTTCGGTGGCGGCGGTGGCGGTGGGAGCGGAGGAGGCGGCAGTGGAGGCGGTGGCGGCGGCGGCGGTGGAGCTGGTCGGGGTGGCTCTGTGCAGCGGGGCGGCTTCGGTGGTGGTCAGCGCCAGCAGCAGCAGTGCGTTCGTGAGACCCCGCCCCCCCAACAGCTTCGTGAGTGGTACGCTGCGCATCAGCGGGGTGGGGGTGTTGGTCCCTGTGCCTACATCCTGCGTACCGGTGACCGCACTAGTGCGCCGTGCGGTGGCCTGCACACCACCCAGCGCTGCTTCGGCCGCCTGGCGTCTCCAGTTCCCTGACGCCACTGAGATCCCTCGCTGGGGCGAGCTGCTTAGGTCTGGGGTTGCCATCTTTGATCTTGATTATGATGCTATTCTTGCTGCCATGTATGGTGTGTCTACTAGTAATGAGGGTGACTGTTACCTGTGTGTTCCGCCTGGCCCGGGCATTGCGGCTGCTGCTCTAGGTGCTAGTGAGGCAGCTGCTCTAGGTGCTGGTGAGGCTGGTGCTCTAGGTGCTAGTGCGTCTGCTGCCCCAGGTGCTGGTGAGTCTGCTCTCTCAGGTACCACGTCGGCTCAGGCCTTACACACCTTCACCCTTGACTCGGGTGCTTCTCGCTCCTTCTTTCAAGACCGCACCACACTCACGCCGCTTAGTCGGCCAGTTGCGGTCTCCTTGGCTGACCCCTCTGGGGGTCCTGTCCTTGCCCACTTCTCCACTGTCTTACCGTGTCCGGCGGCCCCTTCTGTGCGGAGATAACTGCTGCAACGGGAGCTAGGCTACGGGCTAGACACGGGTGCTTGTGTGATCTCTGCGTTCTCTGTTCCTTAGTCTTTTCCTTGTGTTCACGCTTCTTGCTAGTTCACAGGGAGAATTGGCAAGAGTTTCACTAGGAAAAGTTCAAAACAATGGTACAATAAAGTTGGCATAGCAATACTACATCAGAGCAAGCATTCAGGTCGGCCAACTGCTAGCGCAGCTTGGTCGACCGCGTTCCAGCATGACTTGGCCGACCGCGCTCCAGCAAGGCAAGGTCGACAGTGTGCCAACGTCGCAGGTTGACTGTGCCAGCGTTGCTCACGCAGGACAGCAGTGCACCCGCTTTGCATGTGCGCGCAGATGTTTGGCGTGCAGAGTCTTGTCACCTGCACAGCGTACACACCGCGTCAACCTTGTGCTGACGACTCCTTCTGATCGGCCACGTCGACCTCGGGATACTACCACCGAGGTCGGGCTCGCCAACTTCACCTGGGCGACCATCGCACTCCTCCGCAGCACTTCGTCACCCAGGTAACCTGGTCGGCCGGGCAACCATGTCGACCAGCAGCTCCCGTACGTGCCCGTCGACCTCCCAAGTTGACGACCACCTCCATCGGTCGACCTCCTCCAGGTCGACATCCCTTCTGGTCGACCAGCTCCACATCGACCAGCTCCTCGTCGACCAGTACTCCTGGTCGACCTGCCCCTCGTCGACCAGCACAGTCGTCGGCCGACCACCCACGTCGGCCACCCGAAGTTGGCGTCACTAAGTTGACGCCCCGCTACTCGACGCCCAACTGCTCGGCGTCCTGAGTCAAGGTCGACGTCGGCCTCTCCTCCGTCGACCACCAGGTCCAGTCGACCACCAACAGGTCGACCAGAAGGCCTGGTCGACCAACCACCAGGTCGACCAGCAGTCCGTCAGCCGACCACCGAAGTCGGCTTCACCAAGTTGACGTCACCAAGTTGACGTCCTCCGCAGATCGACTCCCAAGTCGACCTCCCCAAAGTTGGCGCCACCCTGAAGTCGGTGCCCGTGCAGTGGTCCCCGTGCAGGTCAACCTCCTCGTCAACCAGCTCGCCCACTGCTGCAGGTCGGCTGCTCCCCTCACACCCGACCACGATGTCGGTTCTGCCCAAGCGAGGACGGGGCCAACATATAACTCCCGTTGACACTCCCGTGCCGCGTTCACGCTTGGGCCCCCAGCCCACACGGCAGTACAGCTCCAAGAATAGCCCGTCGTCGTGCACCCAACACACAGCACATCGGTCACCGCACCAGCCATGCAAGAGGGCCTGACACCTACTGCTGCACGTCGTTGTCGCCGTCGCCCACGTCGGCCAAGCGCACCTGGCCGATTGCGACGAAGCACCGGTTGAAGGCCGAATAGTGCAGCGCCTTCGTCAGGAAGTCGGCTGGCTGCTCAGCGGTTGGAGCGAGAACTTCCCACGCTTCACCATGTGCTGCAGCCAGGCCTGTCGCCGCTCCATGTGCTTGAGGTTGCCTGTCAACCCCATGCCCTCGGCGACCGTGATGGCCGACTTGTTGTCCACGCGCAGAACGGTCGGCTTCCTGGCGTCCAGCTGCCGGAACTCGGCGAGGAGGAAACGAAGGCGGCATCCCTCCTTGCCAGCTTCAGTGGCCGCCGCGTACTCTGACTCGGTCGACGACAAAGTCGCGCACTTGATGCGCTGGCTCGACCAGGACACCGCGGCCCCTCCGTAGACGAACACGTAGCCGCCCGTGCTCGTCCTCTTCTGCTTGTCACCGGCGTCGTTGGCGTCTACGTAGCCGACCAGCTCCAGCGACACAGGTCCACCGCCGAACTCCAGGGCGGTGTCACGTGTGTTGGCGAGGTAGGCGAGGCAGCGGTCGACCTCGCACCAATGCTGGTCGCTCCTCACCGTGAGGCCGCTCCCCAGCTTGCTGCAGGCGAAGGCGATGTCCGGCCTTCGTCGTCGCCGCGAACTGCAGCGAGCCGACCTTCTGCCGGTACTCCTCCTCCTGCCATTCCTGCGCCTCCTCGTCGTCGAAGGTAAGCTTGGCGTAGGCGTCAACCGAGACCGGCGTCTTCGGGGAGCGCCCGGTCTGCTCCTCGTCGAGGAAGCGCCTACGCAGCTTGTCGATGTAGCCCTGCTGGTGGAGCCATAGCTTCCACGCCGACCTGTCGCGCACGATCTCCAGCCCGAGGTACTTCTGCACCGGCGAGATCTCGCGCAGCTCGAAGGCGGCTTCCAGCAGCTCCTTTAGCATCGCGGCACTGCTGCTGGCGGCAAGCAGGTCGTCGACGTAGACTAGCACCCAGCAGGCCACGCCACCCTCGCCGACCTTGAAGTAGAGAGCCTCGTCGACCTGGCTCTTCTTCCACCCGGCGCCGACCAGGAAATCGTTGAGCGCCAAGTACCACAATAGCGGCGACTGCTTCAGCCCGTACAGGCTCTTCAGCAGCTTGCACACCCGGCCGGTTCCGTCGTTGAAGTAGTCCAGCTGGGACATGTACAACACCCGATTGAGCTTGCTCTGTAGGAAGGCGTTCTTCATGCCGAGCTGCATCAGGTCAAGGTCGAGGACGGCGACGATGCTGAGTAAGATCCTCAGCGTGACGTAGCTGCTCACCGGCGCGAACGTCTCGTCGTAGTCAGCGCCGTACACCTGTGTGAAGCCCTTCACAACCAGCCTCGCCTTCTCGCGCTCGACGGTGTCGTCAACGTGGTACTTCGTCGTCAACACCCACCGGTTCTTCATGACGTTCACCCCCGGCGGGCGTTCGACCAGCTCCCAAGTGCCCATGTTGATGAGGCTGCAAATCTCCTTCTCCATAGCGGCCTTCACCGCCGGGCCCTTCGAGCTTGCCAATGCTTCTTTCACCGTCATCGTCGAGATGTCCCAGCAGTGCTCGGGGTCGGCTAGCATGTCGGGGTCAAGCTCTGGAAACTCCTCATCCTCCTCGGCGTCGTCGTACAGCAGGTCGTCGCCATCATCGTCCACGTCGTACACCGTGGTGAAGGCAGCGGGGACGAAGAAGTCAGGCGGCCTCCGAAGTCGGCCTGAACGACGTGGTCCCGGCTGGACCTCCTCGGCGTCCCCTCCATCGTTGCTATCGTCGCTGCCCTCGGCGTCCTGCTGCTCCTCAGCCGGCGTCCCTGCCGACTGCTCCCCTGGGGTCGGCTCCCCTGCCGACTGCCCGGTCGCCGATTGCTCCGTAGTCGGCTTCACGGCTGCCTGCTCCCTTGTCGACCGCTGCTCCTTGACCTGCTTCTCGACCTGCTCCTCCCCTGTTTACGTCGACTGCAAACCTACGTCGTCCTGCCGCTCGTCACGTTGGCCACCGGTGATGCACTTGGCCGAAGGCAACGGCCCACTACCCCCCTCATCGCCGGAGGCCGACACGGAGGCCAGCCCACGCAGGTCGGCCACGAGGGGAGGGGCAGGGGTCGTAGGGGGAGGGGTAGGGGTGCGGACGTCCTCGACGTCCGCAGTAGCCAGCTCACCGACCTCGGCAAGCAGTGGCAGCGTCGCCGACTGTTGTGTGATGCAACCATATGCATTCACGTCTGTCTGCCTCCCATCATGTGTTTGTCCGTTGCATGCGTGGTGTGAGCGTGTGCAAGAAATTTGTGTCTTGTGTGGTTTGGATTTTCTGTGTGTGTGTGTGTGTGTGTGTGTTATTTGGCTTGAGCAGATATCTGAAGTGATTCCTCTACTCAAGAGCTTTCCGACGAACCAAGAATCGTCGCGATCGGAGCACAACCAAGAAAGTTACGAACATTGGAGTTCGTATGCTTATATATTTTGGTTGTAGCTACTTTGGGAAGTTGTGGCATTGACTCAATATGGGGTAGAGACTTGTGGGGGTTGGGAAATTCGAATCCATCACTGTAGATGCTGCCAAGAGGTTGGGTGAAGCCAAACCAGGTTGGTAAGTGTGGCCAAGTTGAGGTGAGGTGGATGGCATGGGTTGGAAAGTGACAAAGGTCAAAGTTTGTTGCCTATGGGGAAGGGAATTGTGTGGCATGGGGTTTACTTGGTTGGGGACTCTCTTGGAACCTTCCCTCTCGTCCTCCTTATCCCCTCCTACCTGGTTTAGTGCTACTCTAATGTTCTTTTGTGGGACTTGTGAGTTAATTGTGATTGAGTTAAATTTCTGTGGCAGCATACCCCCTAGTGCGCCGAAAAACATAACTCGAGATATGCTTCATATTTTGATACGATTCGAATTGGGAAATGTAGCCACGGTCTAGGGCTACAACATAGTCGAATTTCGTGGGATTCTAACATTGCACCTTTCGTCGACTACGTTTCTTGTGAAGTCTACGTTTCTGTCCAGAAATTGAGACCAACGATTTTGAGAAATTTGAGCACCTAATCTTCATAGACTCCGTACTTAGTCTCTAACACCGACGAGGTGTCAAAGGGCGGGGTGGACGAAGAGCGGCCGGTCACCGGCCCATGCTCTGTCTTCCACTCGGCCAGCGACATCTCCTTGTAAAACACCACGTACGACGTGGTGACCACCCGCTCGGTGTCGACATCGAGGAGCTCCCAGCCCTTGCTCGCCGCCGACACGCCAAGGTGCAGGCCCCACCTGGCCTTCGGCGTGAGCTTCCCACCACGCTGCTGCTCAGGGACAAGGAACTGCGCCATGCAGCAACAAGTCGGGCTTCTTCCCGGTCAGCAGCTGGTACGGCGTCGTCCCGGGCGGCAGCGTCGACCTCTCAAGGCAGTTGCGGACCCAGACGGCCTGCCGGAGAGCGAGGTGCCACCAGTGGTGCTGCACGCCCATGTGCAGCAGCATTGTCCGCACCGACTCCACCACCGTCCTCATCTCCCGCTCCGCCATGCCGTTCTGCTGCGGGGTGTATGGGCAGGTCAGGTCATGGACGATCCCCTTGCCGTTCACGAAGTCAATGAACTGCTTCCCGAGGAACTTCCCTCCCCGGTCAGAGCGCAGCATCAACACCGACCTCTTCGTCTCCCGCTCAGCCACCGCCAGCCACTG